CGTGTGCCGCTGCAGCCACATAGACGCTTCTAGGGCCCCCCGAGGGGCCCCCTGCAAGGCGCCTTGGGGGGCCCCCTGGGGGCCCCCCTGGGGGCCCCCCTGGGGGGCCCCCTGGGGGGCCCATCGAGGGGCTCCTTCGGAACGTTGTGTGGCTGGGGGCCCCTGACCTGGAGGGGGCCCCTTCAGCATGTGAGGGTACCCAGACAAGGAAGAACTAGAGTCAGCAGCTGGCTCAACTGCTGCTGCTGCTGCTGCTGCTGGTGTTGCTGCTGCTGCTGGTGTTGCTGCTGCTGCTGCTGGCTCGGATGCTTCTCTTCCTGCTGCAGCAGCTTCAGTTGGGCCCGTAGCAGCACCTGGAGCTGCCCTGGGAGCTGCTGCAGCTGTTGAGCGTGCAGTGTTCGCAGCATCAGCAGCTGGTGCTGCTGCAGTTGCTGCCAATGCTGGTGCTGCAGTTGCTGCTGCTGCATCAGCAGCTGGTGCCGGCGGTGCAGTTGCTGCTGGTGCCGGTGCTGCAGTTGTTGCAGCGCCAGCAGCAGCAGCAGCTGCTGCTGCTGCTGCTGCTGCAGCGTTCTGCTGACCCCTAGAGAGAGAAGAACCAACAGGCTGCTCCCCCGGCCGCTGGTAGAGAGTGAGCTGCTGCTCTACAGCCATGAGTTGCTGGAGAGCCGACAGCTGCTGCATGCGCTGCAGCAGCTGGTGCCTGAGTCCCGAAGCGGCAGCAGCAGCAGCCGCCTCAGGGCCAGTAGGGACAGCAGCAGCAGCAGCACCACCACCACCAGCAGCAGCAGCAGCAGCAGCTTGTCTTGTTGACCGCAGGAGAGGCTCCCCAGCTGCTGCAGCAAAGCCAGGGTGCAGCTCAAGGGGAGGGAACAGCAGCGGCAAGTCTGCGTACGCCGCATCCGGCGGGAAGGGTGGGGGCTGCGGTGTCTGCATCTTCAACGCCGCCAATGCAGCAGCAGCAGCAGCAGCAGCAGCAGCAGCAGCGGAGCTGCGGCGTTGTCTGAGCGGAGTTTTCTCTGCTCTGCTGCAGCAGCAGGTGCGGCCCTACAAGCCGCTGCAGCAACAAGCAGCGAGCAGCAAGGTATCCCCTGCCTCTCCAGACCAACTATGTTTAAAATAAAGTATACTTCTCGTCTCTCTCGCAAGGTAACAGCTTTCAGGTGTATGGACAGCTGCAGCACGAGCGCCGCGGAGCTTCTGCTGCTGCTGCAGCAGCAGCAGCAACGCAGCAGCACAGGGCTCAAGGCCTCGGAGTTCTCTTCTCTTGTTTTACAGGGAGATTTGTAG